AAGACAGTAGGAGATTTCCTAAACGAATACAATTTACTGCAGTAACTACAGTCACGTCTGGTATTTCAAAGCCATTCCAGCCTTGCTAGGTCCTTACACTACCATTGGTTTCACTGTTTTAATTGCATTGTGAAGCTACAGCACTGAACCCCAGAAGTCAGATGAAGATCATATGGCTGCAGAGTCCAGGAAACAAACACTGGAGAGTTCAAGGGTTTGGTGATGAGCTTAAGACCTTCTGACCTCTTGGTTACCTGGGTAGGGCACTTCAAAGGGGAATTAGTGCAGAGGACTCAGCGTGACACAAATCCCAGTTTGTTTCCTTGACATCCTCACAGACTCCACAGCAAACCATAGAAAACCAGAGACCTCAGGCAATGACCAGACTATTAGGCGATGGAGGGAATGACTCAGAAGGCAAGATCCTGTCAGTAAATGGAAAAAGAACCACATTTCTCCAATATGTATAGTTTTATATTCCACACCCGCTTAAAATCCACAAGAGGTTCAGAGTTTGGGGCTGAAATCAGGTTCAAATCATCTTTCTCTGGTAGAGACAGAATTAAGTTACAACAGTCAGGAAAACTCCAGATACATGTTCTGAGAGCACTCTGACATACTGCATAGATCAGGATACTAATTTATAGGTCACCTTTTAGTATTAAGAACAGGCTTCTATCACATAAAGAGACCCACACTTACTTAGAAGTACTAAAAGCTCACCCAAGAGGCTGGAGGTTGTTACATTGCAGTGCAGTTGTGCAGAGCCCTTCAAATGGGACTGGGGAGGCAAAATTCCATCCTAGCAAATGTGTGACTGTAAGACCAGGCAGAACAGGGGCAGCTGTCTTGAAAAGAACAGATCTACCTATAACAGGTCCACCCAGACTTCTTGATCATGAAAGCCATCCATCCAAGTGAGCTGTTAGGGGACTGCTAGCCTCAAGGAATAATTGACAACATATTTCAAGCATCACCTAAACATCTGAAAGCATCAACACTTCAGGTTTTTCAGTGGGGGAAAGTAATACAAGCTATAGTATAGGAAAGCTGATGGCAGTTTAAATATCTTTCCCACATCAAAGTTGCACACAGAGCATGTTTAATTGTACCACTGAATCAATGGCAAAGTGATTTACCCTCCAGAGGGACTGAACCATTGGTAGAGGCACAACTGGAACCCAGGTCTCGCGCTGGGCTGTGCTCTGAGGCACATATGTGTACATGGCAATAAGAAATGAATGAAGCCACCTGGCCTTCCATATCAAAGCCTCTGTCTCTAGCAACCAAAAGATGCACTTCTAGATTTCAATTGACCCATATTCCTTTCCTGTCCATATCTATCCTCAAGAAACATCACTACTGTAGCAAGCACTAGAATTTACTATGTGACCAGACTGATTTGTAATTACCGATATAGTCTGGATAGGAACACCTTCTTGGGCAATCCTGTTATTTGTAACATGATGGTTCTAACATTCGTTCACAGGAAGAAATTTTTAGGCTGAGGTATAAGTGTTTCGAAGGTCTATCTATCACAGTTGGACTTTGCATCCACCTGAGCTGACTTTTGTGATGCTACTGTAAAGCCAACTGTAAGAAAGAGTTATCATCCTACATTGCTCTCCGGTTCACGTTTGGGATTTTTCTTTTAGCTACTTCCACCTCACAACCAAAGAGGTTTCCAGTCTAAGGACTGTATCTAGTCTCAGAAGTTTCTAACTCCCACACTTGAGTTCACAAGGACTTGATGCATGACTAATTGGAAACTACAGGAAAATAGGATGAGAAGTTAAGCTGGGAGAACACCAATTCAAAAGACAACTAATACAGACGCAGGCATTTTTTGACAACCAAGCTCGTTCCAGCATGGGAATAAACTTCCCTTAACTCAGCTCGCAAAGCTTCTCCCGTCCAAGTCTGGAGGACAACAGTTTCTGCTTGGCAGACAGCCCCTCCATTCTTATGCTTTGGGTAAGACCCACTTCCCATTCTCATTGCTTAAGTACAGTAGCAAGTTAGAAATGCATGTGCTGAATGTGAATTTCAAACAAAATCATGAAGCTGCTGCAATCTATACAATGCCAACAAACACTCCTGCTTGAGTCTCAGTCATTATTACTGGCACAGTCCTTACAGAAGTTCAAAGCAGTTCAAGCCAAGATAGCCTGCAAGTGACATTGGTCTAATAACCAAGATCTGTCAACTGAAGCCAAACAGAAGCTAGAATTTTCATTTTAAAGAAGGAAACAAAGCAAGAAACATTCCACCAGAACAACTATCCCACAATTTCATTTTGAAGGATGTGAATAATTTCTTTTTCCCCTCCAAATTGCCATCCGCTGCCACCACCCACCCCCAAGCTTTCTACACTGTTCAGGGCCTTCGTTTTCTGGCAGAAAAAGTTTTCAGCAGTCCTCAGAGCCTTAGAAGCCCATCTCCAAGACAGCCTGCAACCTTAAATACCAAGAACTATATCAGCTATTGAGTTTTAAACTATTTTCTAGGTGGAAGACAAAAGATTATAGCAACTTATTGTCCTCCCTCCCCTCGGAGATATACAACTTTTATGACAAGCTGTTTAAAAATAACATGATAGCAGATTCCCAAGCAGCTCAATCATGTCTTCACTTGCTGACCAAGGACAGAAGAAGACAACTGCAGGAATAGCATGTCTCTTGCATCAAGGAAACATACCAGCCGTGGAGCATCATATCAGTATGTGCTTCAACATACCAAAATCTGGAACTACAGGAGTAACTTTCAAGGGTCTGGCCCGCTTATACATGGATAGTGGTACTCAAGAAAAGTGTCAGAAATCACTGGACAAAGCAAAAGCACTCATGGATAAGGTTGCAGAAGAGAAAGCAAGAATGGCCACATAGTATCATTAACAGTAATCACCTACCCACCATCTTGTGTCCTCCACAGCCTCTTCAGGGCAGAGGCCAGCAAGCTCCGCTGTGACGGAACTGCTATTGCTTCATGTTATTCAGGTGCTACTAAGATCCCCTGTTTAGATGGCAAAAGGGATACTGAACAACATAAACAACAGTTTATACCAGTCTTCATCCCCTGAGAAAAGGCTTCACACCCACATAGATCAATGTCAGACTTCAGAGCAAAAGGCCCGTATTCTTATCCCACACCATATTAAAACCAGAAAAGCACAACTCTCCCAACCTGAAGCTGCACCCTGCAGGAGGCTCCCTGCAAAGGTCTAACGTTGTGGCTGCTTAAAGTTTTCCCACACAGATTTTCCCATCAGAAAGTGAAGCTGTTAGACATTTGCCAACAACAAAACTCCACCACTCAAGGGGAAGTTAAAACGTACAAAGATTGCTTCAACGTGTGATATTTGACTAAGCACTTGAATTTTTATTTCAAAACATCCACCAGTGATTTTTTTGTACCCTTCAATTTTTTATTCCCTCCCTCTCCTTTAAACTAGGATGGCAAAGTTCCATCTGACAAAAAAAAATACCAACAAAAAAATAATCTACCAGCTTTCCCAACAACATTGTTTAAATCAGCTTTAGATGGTTTTATACAACACTTTATAGACTTGGAGAGGGACACGTTCCCCTGACAAAGCATCAGCTATCCAAACAACTGAGGCATGGGAAAATCATGCAAGAGTGTGAATTGGGGAAGGTCTTTGGTGAGCAGAGACACAGCCTGCACTCATGTAAGCGTGGTAGCTCTGAACAAAGATCTGCAGGCTAATAGATATGTAAGACAAATGACATGTGGTTCTCATTGCAGCTCATGCTTTGGGAAGGGGGTACCTTGGAACAGATCCAGCTGGGATAGGTTTATCCCATTACTCTCCTATAATTTTCTGCCATTTCAAACTCTTTGACAGTTACTGTAGTTTAACATCACACCCCCTACAGACTGAGGCCTGTTTGACAGGCCAGCAAACAAAACCACCCCCACTTGGATATGAAATATGCACCATATGTGAGAACCGTGCAAGGCACAAGGCTAGCGCCCACTCTTGTACTTCTGTGACACACCGATGTAAATCTGCTGTGTGGATGCCATATCTCAATTCCTAGCCTAAATAAGCAGTGCTAAACTAAGCCCTCCTCCACCACAGCGTAACGCATGCATACTAGGTATTAGCAAGGGGAGGAGGAAAAGAGGCAGAGACAGAACGGACGAGTCCTGAATATTAAATTCCCAAGTCCCCATTTAAGGGAATTTCAGGGAAAAAAAAAAAAAAAGTGAAATTCAAGAACAACTGGAATCAGGTTAAGCCACTCTCTTGCTTTATACAGTGCGGCTCATTCATCTGAACAGCTGTTTCACCTCTAGAGAAATACCCAGAGAAAACAGAGAGGAGGGGGAGAAACCTAAATTGTTTGCTCTACTGAAGCAGCAAGATACAGTAAATCAAAACTGATTTACATTAAGTTTATAAGAAATTGGTTGGGGGGGTGGGGGTGGAGGGAGAGGAGAAGACTGGGAGGTTTGGTTTTAAACAGCTATTTAAAAGCTGCAGCTCTTGAATAGACATCTGTAATTAAAGTTTTTCCTTTGTTAAGCTGAAGAAGTTTTTCCTCGCAGCCGACGGCTCTAACAGTTCCCTCTGCCGGCATCACCCGCGTCCCGGTCCAGGAGGCTTTAGGGCTCAGGCTGCGCAGGGACGCGCTGCCCCGCGGAGCCGGTAAAGCCGCCTTCCCCTCCCCGACAGGCTGGGGAGCCGAGAAAGGGCAGAGTTTGCGGGTTTCATTTGCCAAAGCTCAGCTCCTTCAGTCCCCAGCTGCTCCCCGCCCCAGAGAGGGACGCTGCTGCGGGCAGGTAGGGAGCCTCCCGCACCCCGTTTGGGATGGGGGGCAGCCCAGCCCGGCTCCCCGGGGGGCAGCAGCCCGGAGAGCCCCCCGCAGCCTCCGCGGGAATCGCTGCCCGCGGTTCTGCCGTGCCCCTCGCTCCCCTCGGGAGCCACCGGCGGGGCCCAGCCTCCTCGCCGGGGAGGCGGACCCGGTCTTACTCACCGGCGACTGGCGAAGCCGCTGCCCGGCGAGCCCGAGCTCTGCTCTGGGTAGTTGTGCTGCAGGGTTGATGCTGGGAATTGATAGAGGAAGCCAGTCCCTAGCGCACATCCATGCAGGCAGCAGCACCAGGACAAGAAAAGAGCGAACTGCATTTTTGCAAGAACAGGGTTTTTCTCCCGCCTCCCCTTTGTTGTTTTTTTTTTTTTTTTTCTTTCTCCCACAGATACAATAAAAAAACCCAACTCACACTTTCAATGATATAGGATTAAATTATCCACTGCCAGCTTTTGGGGCAATATTTAAACATTACATCCCACAATGAAGCTCAGTTCTAAAGTG